TGCTCACAGTCATGTTTTTGTGACTTGCTCCATTAATATAACTAATATAAATAGCCGTTTGGGATGTAGGTAGGATCTACGAGTGTTCCTGTGCAAGCTAAAACCACTTTAGTTCATTAGATTTGCACCACTTTGACAAACTAGCCATTCTCAAAAATGTTCATCTTCAACTAAGCATTTGTTGTCTACATCTGTATTAGAGGGCAATGGTATAATAGCTGAAATTAGCTTTAGAGGTACTTCACTGACCAAACAAACTAGAACAGTACTTTATCGGGAGCTATCTTCAACTACAGACCACAGACTTCCAAAAGGAAAAAAAATAATTTTCACTCTATGCTGGTATTAAAATATTTTTCCCAATCATTCTACATACAAAAGAGTAGCCACAAAATTTAGAGAGAATTTTATGTCAGACTGATCTTACTCTCCGAGAATAATGGGCAGAGACTCTAGAACTTGGTTTTTTTCTCAGATCAGGCCTAGGCAAAATGAAATCAAAACAGACATCAAAGGCTCATTGAGGAGAAAACACATGCAAAAGCCTTGTATTGGATGCTTTATCTTTTTTTTTTTCTCCATAGCTCCATTTCCCATTCAGAACTTCTACATTTACAGGCTACCATCTGTCCTTGGAATAAAATAAAAGCTTCTAAAATAAAATTGAGATTAGTTACGTTACAAGTAAGAAGATGGACCACAATGTACCTTTTTCATCTTATAAACTGTTCTATGAAAGACTAAAATAACAGAAAAGTTACTAAATTACCTACATCTTTTATTGTTGTATCAGCCACTGTCTAATACGTTGATGCAACTTCCAAGTAAAACTTCTCCATTGTGTATCAGATGCAAATATGTGTGCAAACAAAAGATACTTCTGTGCTTCAAAGTCTCCCCACTAACAAAGCAGATGGATGCCTGCTGTCATTCGCAGTTTACCACAAATCACCTCAAAAAGTTCTACAGCACAACCACAAAACAAAGGTGGATACTGGGAGAATCCTTTAAAAAAAATGTCATCTGAGATACCACAGAAGGTTAAGGTTGGAAGGGACCACGGTGGGTCATTTGGTACAACCTCCCTGCTCATGCAGAGTCACCCTAGAGCACATTGCTCAGGATTGCATCCCGATAGTTCTTGAATATCTCTAGTCAAGGAGACTCCACCACCTCTCTAGGCAACCTGTTCCAGTGTACAGTCACACAGCAAAGAAGTTCTTCCTCATATTCAGGCGGAACTTCCTGTGCATCAGTTTCTGCCCATTGCCTCTTGTCCTACTGCTTGGCAACACTGAAAAGAGCCCTCCGTTCAGAGGTCCCCTCTCAGTTGTCTTTCTTAAGGCTGAACAGCCCCAGCTCCCTCAGCCTTTCCACATAAGAGAGATGCTCCAGTCCCTTAAGCATCCCCGTTGCCCTCCACTGGACCTCTCTTGTACTATCTTGTACTGAGGAGCACAGACCTGGACACAGCACTCCAGATGTGGCCTCAGTAGGGCTGAGTAGACAGACAGGATCATCTCCCTTGACCAGCTGGCAATGCATTTCCTAATGTATCCCAGGATACCATTGGCTTCTTGGCCACAAGGACACATTGCTGGCTCACAGACAGACCCCAGGTCCTTCCCCACAAAGCTGCTTTCAGCAGGTCAGCCCCCCAGCCTGGTGCCTGAGGTTATTCTCCCCCAGGTGCAGGACCCTGTACTTTGTTGAATTTCAGGCAGTTCTTCTCTGCCCATCTCTCCAACCTGCTGAGGTCCTTCTGAAGGGCTGCACAGCCCTCTGGGGTATCAATCACTCCTCCCAGCTTTGTGTCATCAGCAAACTTGGTGAGGAGGCATCTGCCCTTCCATCCAAGTCATTGATGAATAAGTTAAACAATACTAGACCCAGTATTGAACCTTGGGGGACATCACAATTGACAGACCTCCAACCAGACCCTGTGCCACTGATAATGATCCCCTGGGACCTGCTGTTCAGCCCGTTCTTAATCCACTTCACTGTTACTCATCCAGTCCACACTTCTTGAGTTTGCCTATCTATGAGGGTATTGTGAGAGACAGTGTCAAAAGCCTTCCTGAAGTTGAGGTAGACAATATCCACTGCTTTTTTCTTATCCATCCAGGTAGTTGTTTTGTTGCAGAAGGCAATCAGGTTGCTCAAGTATATGACTTACCTTCAGTGAATCCACACTGACTACTCCTTATCATCCTTCTTGTCATCCATGTGGACAGAGATAGTTTTCAGAGTGAGGCACTCCACCACCTTTTCAGGGATTTAGTTGAAGCTGATTGGTTGGTAGTTCCCTGTGTCCTCCTTCTTGCCCCTTTTGAAGACAGGGGTAAAATCTGTTTTCTTCCAGCCCTCAGGCACCTCCCTTGATCGCCTGATCAACCTTTCAAAAATTATTGTGACCGGCCTAGCTATGGTGTTAGCCAGCTCTCTTAGCATTTATGGATACATCCTGTCAAAGCCAGCGGATGTGTGGGTGGTCAGGGTGCTCTCTAAGTGAATGCTCCATGACCAAGGGAAAGTCTTCCTTACAATATTCCTTCACTCTGGTCTCCTGGGTCAGAGATTGATGAGGGCTGGTCTTGTCAGTGAAGACAGCAACAAAGGCATTAGGTAACTGCCTTTTCCATGTCCTCTGTTAGCATGGTCCCCACTCCATTAATTCCAGATGGGCCTTGGCCTTCCTTGCCTCATTTCTCCTTACTCGACGACCTTTCTATTCCCATTCCAAGTGGTCTGATCCCGCTTTCATCTCCTGTATATTTCCTGCTTATACTTGCGTAATGACACGAGTTCTTTATTCATCCACACAGGTCTCTTGCCCACTTAGTCTGAATTTTTGCTCATCAGGATGCATCATTCTTGAGCCTTGAGAATGTGATCCTTTAATATCAACCAGCTCTCCTTGACACCTCTTCCCTGTAGGATCTGTTCCCACAGGATTCTTCAAAGAAGACCAATAAAGTGGCTAAAGTTAGCTCTCCTTAAATCCATGGTTGCAATCTTACTTGCTGCCCTGCTTCCTTCTTGCCCAATGCTGAATTCCACAATCTCATGGTCACTGCAGGCAAGGTTATCCTCAGACTTTACATCTCCAACAAGGCCTTCCGTGTTAGTATAAGGTCAGGTATCACACCATTCCTTGCAGGATCCTCCACTACCTGCCATACTCATATAAACCTCATCCACTGAGGTGCTGAGATGCAGTGAAAGGATTTTGCTTTTTTAAAAGGTTAACTCCCTGCATCACTTCGAAAGTTTCAGTTAGAAAATACAATTGACTTCACATTACAAAACACAGAAAACCAAAGCCATCCTGAAGAGACAACATTCTGCTTATGTTCAGCTCTGCTGACAATTTGACCAAGTTTATATTTAGTTATTTGCTAAATATGGCAAAGCTGCTTTCCAAGAAAAATATATTACCTTCCTAAAAAAGAATGAAAAACATAAGGTAACATGACTGTAAAGTATATGTTAAGTAATTTAAAACTTAAGGTATCATTGTGTTTTGTAATACAATAAAATATTAATTTGTAGCCTTCTTACACTTATTTCAAGAGACTAATAAAATCTTAAGGTAAACTTTAAATCCATAACAGCTTATATACACCTTCTGTGGATTGCATAAACTTGTGAGCAACTCTGAGAGATACTCCTATAAATCCTGCCCTGCCTTAAAAGCTGGACTAGTTTTCTTGTACTATTCCTTCTTTGTTGGGCAGACACAAACCACTGAATAACCTTTCCAATTATTTACCACAGTAGCTTTGGTAGCTAAATAAAAATTATACCAGGATACTGTGTTACGAGGCCCTCATGCTTTGCTTCAAAGGCAATACGGTTATCACAAAACACATTCTCTGCACCTCCGTTTGGCGTTTCTAAGAATGATGAGATTTCATTGCAGAAGTGCAACCCTTAGCAGTGAGGCAGAGCTAATAGGAAATGTTCCTTTCTTTTCTTATACTGACATTGTTATACCCTGGATTTTTGTGCCGACAAAAGCAATCAACTTTGTTTTATTTACCCGCAATGGAACAGTCAATACCATATTGTCCCATTTCCAATTCCACTTATGTCAAGAGAAGCTAGAGCAGTGAATCAGTAATTTCACTCTTTAAATGTATAGAAGAAATTGTCATGTGTTAAAATCAAGGGTTAGCATCCGCATTTACAAAGATTACATTATTAAAACAATACAGAACAATGCTACTTAGATTTAATCCCATTTTCAGTACAGTCTTCATGAATAAAGAATAAATATTGAAGTTAAAAGGCCTAAATTATTGTAGAAATACATTTTCAGGATGTTTAGACAAAAATACTACCTTGAGCATTTTCAGAAAAACTTGCAATGGATGCAACTCCCATGATATTTATGAACAGTCAGCACCAAAATTTGTAATTCCACCTGACACACCAAAGCTTCCAAATCATTGCTGCTCCCCTCCAGGCACCATAGAGAGATTTTTATCAGCTGACAATTATCTCACCTACCCTTTAGGCTTTCAGGATTACAGTGGACAGGGCATCAGTAGAGCCACTGGGATTTGTATCAAGAATGTTTGAAAGAAATTCAGTGTCCAGCTAAAAATTAAATACCCAAACTGAAAAAAATGTTGAATGTTGACATAGCTTGGTGCTGTTGAAGGAAGATTTTAAAGTTATTGACAGTTTTACTCTCTTCTGACCACAAAACCTGAAAAAACACATAGTATACATCAGATTTTAGCCAGTGTAAACTTTGTTATAAACACAGAATTAGAGTTTAACTATGCTTGACATGTATCCTCAAACATGATTCCTTTGTCCTGAAAGAGTAAACCACTTGGTTTTAATTTTCAATATTTTATTATAGGTTGAGGTTTAAAAATAAAATATAAACAGATGCTTCTGAGAACAGGCTAAGAAGAGAAGCATTTAATCTATAGATGAGATTGAAAGCAGCTAGGTAACCTAAAAGAGAGGGGAAAAACAGGACTTACCTTTGAACACTGTTTATGATTCTGGCACCAAGCAAGTGACCCATTGTTCTGAAAGATAAAGGAAAAGTAAATAAATATTAATATTTCTTTCAGACTAGATATGTCCACCCTAATGTGTTAAAATAGAAAACACCATCCGGTTCTTCTTAGAGAATGATGTTGTGCCACAACACAAGTACCAATGCTGACTCCTACTCCCTTGTGTGGAGTAAAAGGCTCAGGGGAGTGTTAAGAGATCAGAAAAAAGTTAGGAATGCATTTCACCAGATAAGTTTGGTGGAAAACTGACCAGTCATCTTTTAGTCCATCTTTGTAAACAGTTATTGTCTAGAATTGCTAAGAAGCAGACAAAAGGTAACACGTGCATTTAAGAAATTGATATGGATTGGTAGTGATTCATGAACAGAAAGTCCATTAGTCACATTTCAATACTGCATGATACTTAAAATAAATTACCGAGGAAAGATAATGAACAACCCTGAAGTAATGGAAAATTCAATTAAATGAGACATGAGTTTACCAAAGACATCTGTGCCAGTTTTATTTTATATTTTTGATAATAAAGTGCATTTCCCAGATAAGGAAACACTCTAGCTCTCATTTATCTTGACTGCAGTAAAACAACCAATACAGTATAACATGCAAAATAATAATTTAAGTTAAAGGAAAAGAAAACATGAGAACAGAAAGATAAATACAAAACTGGCACAGGGACAAACAGCAACTTGCTGTTCTCCTAGAGGAGCTTCTGAAGAGTCAATTTTGGAAACAATATTTCCAGTTTTAAAAAAAACCACAGTTCAGAAAAGAGAAACATATGTTTGTGATGCTAAGAGGTAAGACAAAATAATGATTCACTTTCTGTATAGGGGAAGATCGAAACAACATCAGGAAGAACTGACTGACTCTTTAGACTGAACATGTACTTTGGACCTCATATATATGTCTTCCAAAATGTATAAGTTCATACTCTGGAAATAGAACGGATGAAGATTCTGGTAAATTTGTTGTTCAGAATCTGACTACACTTTTGAGTCAGATAGAGTAATAGGACATCCTTTCATATCAATTAGGCAAGATATTCCCACAGGGATGAATTAATGTGACTGTAGTATATCTTTGCCATTGGCACCAACTATAGATCTGGAAATCAGTTTCCAAGGAGAAGGAATTCAGGTAGGCCAGAATACAAAGGACTAATACAGCAGCAGTATACCTTTTTCTCTTTTTTTTTTTTCAATGAAGGGTGATGCAAATAATAGAATAATATATATATATATATATATATACGTGTTGGTTTCATCTAGGATAGATATAATTTTCTTCACAGTAGCTAGTATGGGCTATGCTTTTGATTTGCGCTATATATATATATATATATACGTGTTGGTTTCATCTAGGATAGATATAATTTTCTTCACAGTAGCTAGTATGGGCTATGCTTTTGATTTGCGCTGGAAAGAGTGTTGATAACAGAGATGGTTTTGTTACTGCTCAGCATGCTGGAGATAAAGAGTTAGGAGAGGACACAGCTGGGACAGCTTATTCCAACTGACCAAAGGGATATTCCATACCCTATGGAATCATGCTCAACATATAATGCTGGGAGGAGAAGGAGGAAGGGGGTATATTTGGAGTGATGGTATTTGTCTTCCCCAGTCTCCATTACGCTTAATGAAGCCCAGCTTTCGTGGGGATGGCTGAACACCTGCCTCCCTATGGGAAGCAGTGAAATAATTCCTTGCTTTGCTTGTGTGTATGGCTTTTGCTTTACCTATTAAACTGTCTTTATCTCAACCCACAAGTTTTCTCACTTTTACTCTTCTGATCGTCTTCCACATCCCACCCAGGGGGGCAATTGAGTGAGCACGTGTGTCAAGCTTAGTTGCCAGCTGGCTCTTAACAACAACAATACATAACTGTTTATGTATAAAACTCACACAGACAAATTCAGAATTATTCTCTTAATATCCATCAACTACAATTTGGAAAGATAAATAGATACATTAGAAACATTGTAACCAAGACAACTAGAACAGTTTCTCAAAACTGCAACACTCTGTTCTGATTCAGCAAAGCTTATAAGATTGAATACAGTGACTTGCTACCACAACTATGAAGCCTAAGCTTTGAAGCTGGATCTCTTTTTGTGAATGTTTCCATAGATCGTGTTTGTGCATGTCTTCATACAAGTATGTTATATGCTCATAAAATCTCCCAAGATGTGGCCAGCAGGTCAAGGTAAGGGATTGTCCCCCTCTAATCTGCTCTCATGAGCCCCACACAGAGAACTGCATCCAGTTCTGGAGTCCCCAGGACAAGAAGGTCAAGGACCCGTTGGAGCAGGTCCAGAGGAGGGCCACGAAAATGAGCTGAAGACCGGAGCTCAATAAAGGCTGAGAGAGTTGGGGTTGTTCAGTCTGGAGAAGAGAACACTCTGGGGAGACCTTATTGCAGCCTTTCAATAGATAAAGGGGGCTTATGAGAAAGATAAGACTTTTTACCAAGGTCTGTAGTGACAGAACAAGAGGCAACAATTTTAAACTGAGAGAGGGCAGACTTATATTGGATCTAGGGAAGAAACCTTTTACAGTGAGGGTGGTGAGATACTGAAACAGATTGCCAAGAGAAGTGGTGGATGTTCCATCATTGGAACCGTTCAGCATGATCTCATCAAAGATCCCAGGTCAGGGAGGGGCGGCCTAGATGATCTTTATAAAGATCCCTTCCAAATTCAATCATTCTGTGAGTGTCTGGCTTCAACAATCTCCACAGCCATAGAATCACAGAATGGTTTGGCTTTCACCACAACTTTTGATCTGAACTTCAGAAACTTTTACATAAGCCTCTTTTTCCATATAAGCTGTAATACTAAAAATTTCTCCTCCTGTATCACCTAAGGAGCTCTGGGGATGATAAAGATACATTTACTCCTTTCCACTTGTAGGCTTATTTAGGAGCAATTAAAAAAAAAATCAATTCAAATAATTTAATTTCAATATTTTGTGAAAATTTATGTTCCAGCAGATTAAAATGCAATCACTATTTGATTTTATGATACCACTTTTATCTATCATTACTGTAGATTTTAGCTAAAACTGAGATTTGCTAGCATAACATTAGCTAACTATGAGCACCATGTCAGGTCAAAAACCCTTTGAAAAGAGACATAAGTAGAAGTAATAAAACTTTAGAACAGCCATAAATAACATATGCTAGTGGGAATTCTTCAGTATTACCCTCAATGCTGTATGAGGATTTATTATTTCCATTTAAAGATCTAGCCAGCAGTAATGTAAAAACAATATTTCATGTGTTACTTGCAATTTATCCCCCCTTTCTTCTTCATATAAAATGTGACAGAGGTAGCTGATTGCAATAACAGATTACTAGCAGCTCACCACTTTGTTTTAGTTACGCTGCTACTTTCCACTGAACTAGAAAAAGCACCTCTGCTTTTAAATTATATCTGTTACTTGAGACAATGAAGTCATAAATGTCCAGATGTGTCCCCTACTTGATAATTTCAATGTCTACAACTGTTTTCATTTCTCTACTGAAAACTATTAGCACTTGAGTTAAAAAGTAAGTTTATCAAAAAGTAAAAGTATTGTTTAGCAACTTCAGCTTCATACAAACTCACATTCACATGAAGTCAATGATCTTTCACTGCACAAAAAGAAAAAGCAAATTGTACAGGTTTCCTTTGAACAATAGGGCATTAGAAGAAGCACAAATGCTATATGAAGGCTCTCCTTCGCTCTGCATCTTAGCAAATGGTTAATCAGAAACATCCAGCTCTGATTATTGTTCCTGTTAGTGTACCTGGCTGAAAACATAATTTCAAAACGTCAGAAATTTCCCTCATGTCTGTTTCTGTTCAAACCCAATCCTGACCTACATATACCAATGAGAGTTTTGACTCAGTCTTTAGTGGTGGCTTAACGCTGTGGTGCAGAAATGGCCTCAAGGAAGAGTTCAATAGACCCATCTGTAAGCCTTGCACCAGCGTACTTTCAGGGCAACCTTGAAATATCTTAATCTGCATACTGAAGAGAATAAACTGCACTCAACAGGGCAAACTCCAAGTATCCTTCTTCCCAGCCCTGACATGTCATATGAAAGACATCAGGTAGATGAGACTAAAGCGTTCTACAACACCATATAGTAGATGGAGTAGAGGAACTCAGATCACCACCTGAGCCCCGTACACTTTCAGTCTGTCAGGAAGGAAAATGCAGACAAACTTCCAGAATCAGACCTTCAAAGACCAGGACAGTTTGAAGTTGCATAAGGACAAGAGTTTACCAAAGCAAAGACAGATGGAGAAAAAAACTTAAAACAGCAGACAAATATTACAAGACTTATCATTCAAACTTTTAAAGAAAATACATGCCATACATATTTTCAGTGAAACTGTTACACTGGCATCTCTAATCAGTCTTACTAGGCTACATTTCAGTAAGTATATGTGCACACTTGCTTTCCTCTGGCAAACTATAAATGTCCTTGTTCTGTACCCTACTATGCCTTGACAAAAAGAAAAGTTGTGCAGCAACTCTTGAAATGAAAAAATACATGCAGAGAAGCAAGAAAAATTGATTTTCTATCTACAGTGTGCCCCAGGGGAAAAAAACTAACCTTCACAAGCAAATAAAAGTTGGTCTTTAACTGGAGGAATGGCAAAAAAAAATTATTTCATTTGCATCTCTGTCCATAATTATTTTAGGAGCTACAATCCTTCTTTTGAAATGCCAGAGAAGATATATGAAAAATGTATTAGTCACTGAATCTGCTACAACAGTACCCGTATACCCATTATCAGTTTTGGAAGTCTCTTCTCCCCTGCCCAATTTTCAATTCACATTCGAATCAAACGACCATCTCTCAAAACTGGCCTCTCCCAATGACCTCACCAATTCTTTCAAAATGACAAAAAAAGCATAGAAATAAAGCCTTCAAATAACAGTACCCACTGAAGTGAAAAAGAACCTTTGAGTAGACAAATCAATAATTGTTGCAACGATGAATTTAAAGAGACAGGCTCC